ATTACTAAATATAATAATATTTTTTATAATAATTTTTAACTTTTTATATATTATTTTTTAAATTAAAAAAATTTTAGCTCAACTGGCTCTTTGACCAAACAAGCGCTGAAAAAACTGAAGATGCTGATTTTTCCACCGGATTTTGATCACGGAGATACTACGCCGTTCGGCGGTGAAAGATTTTCTTCGTTTCAGGTGCGTTTCAATGCCATCGTGCTTCCTCATTGACAGTCCAAATTTCATCAAGCTTCATCTCTCCCACTCTCACAAAACCAACACCAATCTCTTTCTTCTTCACCGAGGGTATATGACTTCAAGTCCATAGACTTTGATTCACTCAAAACGACTGAAAAACTCAACAACCCAATAGGGGGTCGTGCTTCTGAAATTGCGGTGCTGTGTTCCTGCAATGGGTTTTCTGTTTTACAAGTCCGTGGTGCGTCTGCTTCTTGGGACATTACTGTGTGGAATCCTTCTACCAGAAAAATCCAAAAGGTTGTTGGGAATTTCGAGCACTACAATCCCACACAAACGGAAACGATAAAGAAATTGAGACAATAATTTAACGTGGTTCGACTTGTACACCTCTTAACAAGTCAACGTCCACGGGAAAGAAATAAATAAATCCACTATTAAAAAAAAAGAGTACAATAATTTAGAATTTCTCTCACTCAAGAAGCACTCAACACCCTAGTTTTAATGTATAGAAGCTCCCAAATTCTCTCTAATACTCCCTCTTAATCTACACAAGGATTTCTCACAATTTCTCTCTTTCTTTTCTCTCACAAGAGCTCTCACTCAATTTCTCTTGCTTTCTCCTACTCTTGCTTGCTCATTGTCTTTGCATGCATGGGTATTTATAGTGAAAAATCCAACCACCCATGCACCATTTTTCTTTGCCTCATTATCACCTGGCCAAGATTTTCTTTGCCCATTAAATGGCTCAACATGCAATCTTGCATGATTTCAACAAAGCAATCATAGCCCACAACTAGCTAGGTTGGTGAAGCAAACTTCCACACAAAAAGTCCATGGGTTCACACATGGGGTTGGACTTTCTTCCAACAATCTACCCCTCCAACCCTATGGGAGGAGAAACCAACGATGACTCCATACACTTCAACATTCCATAATTTTGCTCCCCCTGCTCATGAACACTTCATCATGGTGTCCTATTTTTGAAAGTTTCCTCCTAATATAGGATAGGACAAACCTACACTAGGTGTACTATGGAAATTAATTTTGAATCAAAATATGATTCGAGAGAAAATCACACCTCCTCGAACCATCATCAAACATCACTTCATTATTGAAGCTCACCTTCTTCTTGGTCTTATTAATTTCCTTGCCATCTACCAAGATCCCTTTAGGCTTCCACACCATCTTCCTCATGGTTTTGTTGAGCCTTCTCCCGGGATGTTGTTTAAGCACATAGATGTTGTGCTTGTTCTTCCTTCCACGCAGAACAAGTCTCCCACCTTTGTAGACCTTGCACCATTCTCGCTTTACGACATACTTGTACCCTCATGTTGTCAACTCACTCAAAGCAATAATGTTGCTTGAACACTTGGGTACATATCTCACATTCTTGAGAATCTTGGCTCTTCCATTGTGAACATTGAGACAAACATCTCCTATGCCTTCAATATTCACCTTCTCACCGGTAGCCACCGTTATTTTGCCAAGCTCCCCCCGAACCAAACTCCCAAATTCCAAAGGATTATTGCACACATGCATGGTTGCAACAGAGTCCAAAATCCACCGTTGATTGTTTTGCTCCACCTCAGGATCACACTCTTCACAATCTAATACTTCAACCACATTTTCTTCAACAATATTAGCCTCCCCCTTGCCCTTGGTTTCTTGACTTTTCATCAATATTTTCATATTAGCAAAGTCCTCCTTAAACTTTGGGCATTTATACTGTTTGTGACCCAATTCACCACAATAAAAACACTGCACTTCACCATAATCCTTCTTAGGTCTGGATTTCGACCTTTCTTGATTTGCTCCACCTCCACGTCCATTGGATCTTCCCCGAGAGTGCTCCATCACCAAAGCATTAGTTTGATTGGCACCATCATCCTCCCCAAGAAACTTATCATTCTCCAACAACATGGAAATGACATCTTTCATCACCAAGGTAGTCTTACCCACTAGCATGCTCTGCATTAGGGACTTGTAAGACTTTGGCAAGGATGCAAGTAAAAGCAAAGCTTTTTCCTCTTCTTCTAGAACATCCCCGGCATTCACTACTTGTGTCACCATCATGTTGAAATCAGATAAGTGCCTGTGAATATTAGTGCCTTCTGCCATCTTCAATTGATATAGCTCCATCTTTAAACACAACCGATTGGTTAAAGATTTTGAAGCATATATCTCTTCAAGCTTCTTCCACATGCCTATTGGAGTAGTCTCTGAAAGGACGTTGTATTTCACCTTCGGTGCAAGCGCCAGTCGAATTTGACTTGCTGCCTTCTTCTGGATAGTACTCCAATCACTATCCTTCATCTCAACCGGCTTGGTCTCTTCTAAAGTTGCATTAAGTCCTTGACAAGTAAGGACATCCTTCACAGTGCTTTGCCATAGAGCAAAGTCATTCTTGCCATCAAATAGCTCAATTGAATACTTCATGGCTTCAGTTTGCATTTTGCCACAACACTAGGAGCTCTACCAATAGCTCTGATACCACTTTTTGGGAATTTCGAGCACCACAATCCCATACAAACGGAAGCGATAAAGAAATTGAAACAATAATTTAACGTGGTTCGACTTGTACACCTCTCAACAAGTCTACGTTTACGGGAAAGAAAGAAATAAATCCACTATTAAGAAAAAAAGAGTACAATAATTTAGAAGCTCTCTCACTCAAGAAGCACTCAACACCCTAGCTTCAATGTATAGAAACTCCCAAATTCTCCCTAATACTCCCTCTTAATCTACACAAGAATCTCTCACAATTTCTCTCTTTCTTTTCTCTCACAAGAGCTCTCACTCAATTTCTCTTGCTTTCTCCTACTCTTGCTTGCTCATTGTCTTTGCATGCATGGGTATTTATAGTAAAAAATCCAATCACCCATGCACCATTTTTCTTTGCCTCATTACCACCCGGCCAAGATTTTCTTTGCCCATTAAATGGCTCAACATGCAATCTTGCATGATTTCAACAAAGCAATCATAGCCCACAACTAGCTAGGTTGGTGAAGCAAACTTCCACACAAAAAGTCCATGGGTTCACACATGGGGTTGGACTTTCTTCCAACAAAGGTGCCCACTAGTTTAGTAATGGTTCCGACCGGAGTCTTGTTAGTAAATCAGGTTTACGGATTTGGCTACGACCCTAGCACAGACAATTACAAGTTGACGAGAGTACATACTTCTATGACTACAATCCCAACTCGGAAGTTAAGGTTTATAGCTTGAGGACTAATTCTTGAAGAAAAATTAAGGGTTGTCCTTTCGATTTTGGTTACATGCAAGAAAATAGAATTCTTGCTAATAACGCATTGCATTAGTTGATACCATTTCCTTGGTCTAAAAGATAGCTAATTGCATTTGATTTGGTCTAAGAGGAATATAATCTTGTTCCACTTCTAAAATATGTCCATGAGGTTGAAGATATTTTTTGAATTTGGGAGTCTTGGGAGGTTGCCTTTGCGTTGGTTCTCTTTGTATGAAAACTGGCATTGAAATGTAGTTTATGAAGCAATTTGGAGTTAGGTCAAGGATTCTTGGACTAAACTATTTTTTCTGCCACACAATTCATTTTTTGATAATATGGTGGTTCCTTTGGCATATTCAAGAGGCGGTGACAAAATATTGTTCAAGCAGTATGTTATTTGGTTTGGTATGATCTTTGAGGAGGTACAAGGTGTTTCAGATCAAGTGGAGTGGGAATGTGTATGAGGAGTCTTGTTGCCCATAAGGACAGTAGTGAAATTGATGATGGGAAGAGGAAACAAACTATTGTGGAAAAGAAGAATAAGAAGAGCAAGAGAAGGTATAGTTACTTACATGTTTAATTTCTTCATGTTTATATAGATTTGACATAAGTATGTTTTCATTGAAATTCTGCGAGGCCATAATTTATGATATGTAGTTTCTAGAATTGCATATGTTTAACTTCTGTATTTGATCAGTTTCCTATTTAATGGCTACAGCAAGTTATGGCATTTTAGCCTCTGTTAATTCTTGTGTTGAGATTTAAAAGTAGTATACTAATTGAAATTGTGTATCATTATGATGTTCCTTATATTTCTCCTTGTTCTTTATTAGGAAAAATTCTCGATCAGTGGAACTTAAGCAAGGGTAGGTAAATCATTATCTTGCTAAAGTTTGTTTCTTTGCTTCTAAAGACTTGTTTTGAAAATATTTCTTGTACCTTATTTTTTAGGCAAATTATTTGTGTTTGACTATATGAAGAAGCAACAATGACTGCTTCATCTACATTTTTGTGTATTTTGTATTATATATATGTGTATATATATATATATATCTTATTTCATAATTTATTTTGTTAAGGCTACATTGCATGTATGTGTGTGTGTGTGTGCGTGTATCCAAAAAAGTGGGCAGGCATTGGTCGGACCTCCTAAATTTTTTTTTAGTCCCAAACGGCACCATTTAACTAAAACACTCCTTCCCCTTGAAACCTCCTTTTAATCGAGCTTGCCATCTTCTCCATCTTGTCCATCAAGCTTAGTGCTCTGAAATACTTCTGCCACCTTCTAAACACACAAGCCTACAAAACCTAAACGAATAATTATAATTTGACAAAGTTGTATATATAATTGGCTAGGTAATTTAAATTGTGTATATCATTATGTGAACCTTACACAATTTTGACCACATGATAAACTTGGATTCAAACCCAATGATAGGTGCACTGCTAGCATGATTGCAGCATATGAAAGAGAAAAATTTATTTATTAAGGCTTTAAATCTTCTGCTGCAACAGGAGAAGGATGGGTTTGAGCCCATGGCTGCTCCTTATTCTGTCATTGTGGATTGGTTTGGTAAGATGCAGTTGGTTGATAAGGAACGACTGCTGTTTGGCAAGATTGCTTAGCAGGGTGAGATTCCTCCTTTCAAGATTCATGTGAGCCTCTATGACATGTACTCAAGGGCTGGAGTTAAGAAGAAAGCTCCTCAGGCTCTTGGAGTTCTTGAAGCGAAGAAGGAGGAATTGGGGCTCCAGGACTTTGAGAGGATTGTAAATGCCCTCATAGCAGGTGGGTTTATGCTGGAAGCTAAAGGGCTGTATGGTATGATGGAGGCTCAGGGTATTGCTGCATTGGATCAACAAAAGGTAGCCCTAATGGCATCTCAAACTTTCACTCGGAAAAGACCAATGAGGAGATAAAATGCATGTACTTTTTGCTGCAATTGAACATCAATGAGACGGCTGGATATTGGTCATTAAGAATTCTTAACACATTGAGTGGCAAGTAGCTGTAATTTATGAACAAGTGAGAACATACAGTGTCAACTAAATCCAATTTTTGTTTAGTTATTTACGAAGAGAATACTCACAACAGAAAATAAAATAGAGCCACAAGATACTTGAATTTGCTCAACCAAGGTTCTCTACTCTACCTATGGTTGTTGCAACATAATGGGGGCTTAAGAGTGGTGAAAGTTTAACTTCTTGTATATCAGTTACATATGTATTCAGATGGTTTCTCTTCTTTTTTACCAGTAGCCTATTTACTGCTTTATTGTACTCAATATTTATTTACCGCTGGAATATAGGGGCAAGAATTCTTGTTTAATTGTGGTAAGAGAACGGTTTCTTTCTGGTTCTGAAATATAGGCGTTGTAATAGGTTCAAATGCTAAGATATTAATTGGGAGGAGTAATGATTTGCGGGATGAATTTGCGAGACGATTTTGGGGGACGACAAGTGAAAACAGGGTCAAATTGGTAATTATTGTTGGGATTGCTTCACTTGTCGTCCCCGAAATCGTCCCGCAAATTCGTCCTGCAGATCATTACTCAATTGGGAGTCTTCCTGCACTCTTACTAAACTAGCTAGGTCCTAGAAAATAGAGTTATTGTACCATAACTTCTTGTCCCTTGTTCACTTTGGTCTCTTAGTGTTTCTTCAAAAATCCCAAAGCAATACCATGTGTAGCAGATTTAGATGTAAGATGTGCCACTTATTATTATTATTTTTTTTTGTAAAATAAGAAAAGAGGATTCCCAATGAGCCTCTTATTTCTCGTGTCGAACTCTTTATGGATGATGGAAAGTACGTTAGTTTAAAATTGTAATATGCAACTTCAAATGATTTGTAAAAATCAAGGATGTTTTTTTACAAAAATGAGTTATTAAATTTCTTTGGGATAGATCCAAAAATTTAAACATTACTCTGAATTAAAATTAACAAATCTTAAATGAACTAAATAAAATGCAAATCAAAATAAACTTGTAAATGAAAGATATATACAAATTAAACTAAACATATTTATTGTTAAATTAAACTACAATCTATAAACATAATTAGAAGTTAAACTACTATAAAATTAGAAATTTAATTCTAAATAATCATGAAACTAATATAAATAAAAACTAAACTAACATGCCAAAAACTAAGAAGAAGCATGAATATCATATAAGTAATCATTTGAAAAAAAAAAATTTATCATAAACCTTAAACAAATACCAAATAAAAAAAGAATAGTACATTGTAGAAACTAAAAAGTTTGCTATTCATTACATAAAAGGAATTGCATAAGCAATTACCTTAATTAGTTTGGTTATTTGATGTTGAAAACAATTTAAATTTACTAGGAATTGTGTTAAAAAGTGAAATATGAAAGTTAAAGTAAGCAATTGTTAACAAGATTTAAGCATACTAAACCTAATTATGGGTTGTGTGTAGAGCTAGTTATACATTGAATGATTTGAAAATTTTTCTTTTGTTTGTCTCCTCCAAGCCTACAACGCTCCACTAGCTAGCAATTACACAATGTAGGTGGTTTCTTGAAAAAGTTCAATAGCTTGATAATAAAATAGGTCTGATCTTTATTCAGATGTCACCACCTGTTTTTATTGTCTGTCATCCCATTATTTAATTGATTTTTCTCCTTAAATATAGCAATAATAGGTCTACTTCAATTCAAATAAACAATTAAACAAACCGAATCTTTAGGTCTAATAGTTTAACCCAAAACCTTAAAGTGTTTGGGTGAGATGGTCAAGGTTTCGAACTTCACCACCGTCTTGAAAACTCCTTTCCTTCATCCCCAAATTGTATATTGTTCAAAAAAAAAAAAAGAAGCAATTAAACAGATAATCTTCTTATGTTCGGACTCTACACCTCAATTGGCAAGTGATATGTCAAAAGTCTCAACACTAGATTTGATGTGGTAGTATCCCGTCCATCCATTAAAAAAAACAAATGATACATAGTATAATTTTAAAATTTGTAATTTATGACATAAACACTTAGATTACTTGAGGTAAATTAGTTGTCTTTGAATATGTGTAGAAGAAGCATTATCCTGCATTTTGGTGTATTTTGTCTTCTTTTTTTTTGAATATAGTACAATAATTTATAAGTTAATTAGGGATAAAAAAAATTTTTTTATAAGACTCAAACATGTAACTTATATAAAGTGAATAATTTTAAGTCAAAATCCAATATCAACAAAAAAAACTAGAACGGAACGATATGTTTTGTTGTATTTTGTCTTTAAATTATATATTGATCCACTTCCATATTTTATTTTGTAGAGGCTACTTCATGTCTATGTGTATCGTGTCTACTTGTGTGAAAGTTTTGTGACTCTTCCCAAGTCATCAATGATCCATATGGTCCCAAAAAAAATTCTTTTAACGAGTACCTTCTCCTCTCGAAGCCTTGTACATATATTATATTAATTTAATTATAATATATTATAATTTTATATTTATATTATAATTATTATATTTTCCTAAAAGAAATTTAATGAAATAGGAGTCTAGACGGAAAAAGGATCGGTTGCATAAATGCGTCATAATGCATATACTTACCAGTAGAATTATAAAAAAAAAAATTTTTTAAATAATATCGTCATCTAATTTAAAGTTTTTATAAAAACCTCAATCAAAATCTAAATTAAAGTTTAAACTCAAACAAAAGAAAATCCAAAAAGAAGTTTCAAGCTTTGACCAGCTTTTTAACTTACCTATCGTCCTTTGTGTTTTTTCTCTAAAAATGGTTTTTAGGTTTATTTGGCTCTTATTTTGTTTATTTTATTTAAGAAAAGAACAGCACCAAAAAAAAAAAAATTAGAAAAGAAAGAAAGGGAAAACAGGAAGAAAACAGGGTTGTTCTCTCTCTGTCTTCTTCCAGGCAGCGTTGAATTCTAGAGTGAGAAAAGAAAAAGATAGAAAATTTCATTCTGTTATTTGTTGGAGAAGAAGGGATTTTTTTTTTTATTTTTTTATTTTTGGATAGACAAGGTCTCTTTCAGAAGAGCTTTGACTCTTCCAGCTCTTTCATTTTATAGTGGCATTTTTTCTCATACTTTGAATTCATCGTTTCCCATTCATCCAAAACTCTTCATTTCTCTGCCATTAAAATTCTTTTTCAAAGTTTTTCAGCTCCAAAACCCATCTGGGTTTTTCCCTGTGTTCTCCTCTCAGATCCGAAAATCCCAAGGAAATTCCAGGTAGCAGGTGGGTGTTCTTTCCTAGCATTTCTTGTTTAGCTTTTTTTCATGTATGGACGCCTGAAGTTCTTTCCTTCTTGATTTAATATTATTGATTTAATATTCCGTTCTTGATTGCGCTGGCTCTTCAATTAGAAATTTTGCTGTATTTTCAGTTAATTCCTTTTGAGAATCTAGCTTCTCTGGGCTGTTTTAAGCAATATAATTGCTTTTCAAATTTTAGTACCATCCGATTTTCTTGGAGATTTTGTATGTTCCGTTGTCCCCTTCTGTCTGGCAAAGACTTTGTTCTTCAAGAGCATCTTGATTTAATGGATCTCAGTGTTTGCTTTGATTTCTAATCATATAATCACCTTTTAGCTTGTTAGCTATAAAGTTTAGATCTTGTTTCCTTATTTGTATGTTTGCTTAAGGGGTCTCCTTGAAATCTCAGGAAAGTTGATTATTTTGAGACTTGTTGCAGTTTTAGCTCATGGGTAATTGTTGTGCAACCCCTAGTTCTTTATCTGAATCTGAGAAGAAAAAAGGGAGAAACAAGAACACGGCCAATCTTTTTTATGGTGAGGATTATGCTGTGACCAATGGATCTGGAGCTAACTGGGTGTTGAAGGACCCCACTGGTCGTGATATTTCATCTCATTGTGATCTAGGACGTGAGCTGGGACGTGGTGAATTTGGTGTAACATATTTGTGCACGGATGTAAAGTCCGGGGACAAGTTTGCTTGTAAGTCGATTTCAAAGAAGAAGCTTAGGACTGCAGTGGATATAGAGGATGTGAAGAGGGAGGTAGAGATAATGAAGCATTTACCTAAGCACCCGAATATTGTTTCACTGAAGGATACTTATGAGGATGACGGTGCTGTGCACATTGTGATGGAACTTTGTGAGGGGGGAAAGCTTTCTGATAGGATTGTTGCAAGAGGGCATTACACTGAGCGAGCTGCTGCTGTGGTCATGCGGACTATTGTAGAAGTTGTTCAGGTTGAAATTTTGATTCACTTTTCTTTTTTTCTTGTTAAATTGACAGATCTTTCATTTCATTTTATTTTTCTTCTCTTGAGTTTGATATTTAATGTGTTGTGATAGGCTCTTTTTGCACTAGATGGGATTTTATTATTTTCCCTGATCATCAGAGTCTTATTTTTCAATTAGAAAGATTCCTAGTTCTTGCATGATATTGGATTGTGACAATTTTATGTGAAAAGCCACTTTTTTCTGTCAAATTTTGAACTAAAAGTTGTTGTCACTTATAAAGATTTCACCTTGATCGATATTTCTCTTTTGGCAGTCCTGGCATTAGCTTATGGTTCTGGTAGTTATTTTTAAGATAAATTAGGTGCCTTCATAATAGCTAATACGCAATCTTTACTGGCATCATTCCTATGTCTATCCAACTCTTGTAGTTCACTTGTTAAAAGCTTTAGTTGGAAGTTTCTGTTGCTGCCTCTGATTTCTTTTCTTTTTCTAGTTCTTATCTGTACTTATTAATTATTCCCTCTTTCCAAGGTTTGTTTGTTTTTCCCTTTAGTTTGGAAGCTCTCATTGGAACCTCCTTCTTTTTCTTCTTCTTCCCTTTTTTTTTTCGCAACAAAAAGTAGGAATTGGAAGTGGAACCTTTTTCAATGGCTACATTTTAAGGCTAGACTACTTTAGTTGTCATATTCCTAAATCTTTGATTGTGCCCACACTATGGGGGAAGTTGCCATATGTTAGATAAACTAGTTGTTTATATGGATTTTGTTGCAGGTATGTCATAAGCATGGGGTCATGCACCGTGATCTCAAACCAGAGAATTTTCTTTTTGCAAATAAGAAGGAAACCTCCCCATTGAAGGCAATTGATTTTGGGTTGTCAGTCTTCTTTGAACCTGGTATTGCACTTTATCAAACCCCTTGATTATTTCAGCTTCAGCCTCTTCAAGCGTTTTCTTTTTAGTTTCTTTTCCATGTGAGGGCCATAAACTATATATCATGGACAATTGGGTGAAGGGTATCTCTTCTAGTATTATGCTCAATTGTACCTGAAACTTGCTACTTTTGACAGGTCAAAAATTCAATGAGATAGTTGGTAGCCCTTATTACATGGCTCCAGAGGTTCTTAGACGCAACTATGGCCCTGAGGTGGATGTTTGGAGTGCTGGTGTTATCCTTTATTTTTTACTTTGTGGTGTGCTACCTTTCTGGGCAGGTTGGTCCTTGTAATTGAGAGGATTTAATATCTTAGTTTATTTGACTTTATTGTGCAACTGAAAATGATATAGATTTACTATTGGTTTTTACTTCCATAGGCAAGGAATTGGGGATTTCCAAGTAAAATCTCATTTAATTTGCCACCAATCTAAACTAATTGAGACTTTTCATGTTTATGCATATACTTC